TCCAAAACCAAAAGAAATACAACAGGGAATCAGAGCATTTAATCAGTAAATGACAACAACATCAGAATAAAAGAGGGAATAAACAGCATAGGTATAGAACCTTCTAATGGAGAGGAAGGCAAGGTGATACCAAGTAATAATAGACTGCTTCAAACTTAGAAAGATAAGGGTAAAATGCATGGTAACCACAAAGAAGGTTAACAAACATACTCATAAAAATAAAGAGGAAAAACATAAAGTCTCAGCAAAAACAAAAACCTACCAAAACAAAAGAAATGAAAAAAAATCCACAAACAAAGTGAACTTTATGAATAATTTGCTATCATTCATGCTTTTCACAGCATAATTCCTGAGATCAAAGGAGTCCAGGCTCCAACTGCTTGGTTAATCCCCTGCCACCTTAGAAAGGAATTTTTAGGTCTCTCAAAAACTAACTTTTCTATCTTCATGGTTGCCTTTTGTTTCTTAAATAAATCACTGTGCTCACAGAATTTGTGGATTGACAGGGCATTTTATCTCCCCCACCAGAAAACAAATTATTTAGGCCAAAAAAAAATTAAATCACCTACAGCTAAGATGCCGTATTTTGCCTGTCCTCGAAAATTAGCATAAAATAATCTAGTTTCAAGCAAATATGGCATAGATTTCTCTCCTGATAAAGGAAAGTAGGACTAACACTTGCCTTTGAACTCTTTTTTTCCCTGCTCTCTAAGGTGCTTGTAAAATTCTTGACTCTAAGCTAAGCAGTCTCTTTATAAGGCAAGCACTCCATCACCAGCAAAACATAATGCTTTCTGAACTGACTAATGAAAAGTCATTTTATATTTTCTTTTGATATCTAATGGAGAAAAATATAGATAAGCAAGAACTTAGAAAGAATAAATTCCAGCTACAGGAAACATGTCTTTATTTCCATTATGTTGAAAGACACTACTTTTGGATTCTCAAAATTATAGTGTATCAGAGTTATAAAGAGAAAAGTATCAGTCAAGTGGACACATCACTTTTCAAAAATACAATCTTACCTGATTAAGTGAGGTGGTATCTGTAAGTATAGCATCAGGAGGTCTATTAGGTATGGCTGCCGCTTCCTGAAATCGAAAGACATTATATACTGAATCTTAAATACCAACAAAGTAATTGTTATTCTCTTTAGCCAAATTGGTATTTGATAAATAACCATGCTTCAATACAATAGACTCTAATAATTGAGTAAAATGGTAATTTTTTAAATATTTTATGTTCAGAAGATAATGACATTAAAAATTTCATAACCAATTCATCTACATTATGTTTTATCTGAAATGACTCTATTCAATGTAAAGAATTACATAATCAGATCCATTCTCTAGGTCAGAAAGTAGAAAAAAGTTAAAGATATTTTTCCCTATGAAAAGATGTTAACTGTAAAAGTTAGACACACAATTCATACCTAAATTGATTTAATCTTTAAAATTGGTCTCTTAGGATCTCTACTTATTTTAATTTGCCTTCTTAACAAAATAATATATTTTAAACTCACTACAAAAATTTGATTATGATACTTTAGTACATAATACAGACAAAATTATATTATTTTTCTTTTTTTTCCTCTATTAAATTTTCTACAACAAAGTCAGCTCTTATTCCTTCAAAGAATTAAGGAATTAGAAACTAATTTTTCATGATTAAAGTCTCAAGCTTACATATACTCCCAAATTTATCCTCACAAATGCAGAAAAATAAACATGATAATAAATAAAATATCATGGGGAAAGCTGCTGCTTGTAAAAACAAACAGAACTAAACAGTCTCTCTCTTTCTGTGGCTGCTGTTTTGCAAAGATTGTTCCATTAATTACATGCCTCCCCTTTGTTTCAGTTGCATCCACTGTATTTTTTGCTGGTTTTACTTATTTTCAGTCCATTCCACTAGGTTTTGAAGGTGTGATATTTAGGGATCTGACTTCATTCTTCAACCTACAGGTAAGTGGTCTTGAGTACCCTTTAAAATTTTTTCAGTATCCTTTATTCCACAAAATCAATTGGAAGTTGTGGCCATGAAGATAAGTGGCCACTGTTGTTGTAATAGTTTCACTGCTAACAGAACAGCAACCAGTTTACAGCATAGGGCTTCACCATGACTTAAGTATTATCACTTATTTTCTCTTAAAGCAAAAAATGATACAAGTGAAAAATTTCTGTTTAATTATAATAATATCTAAAGAAGTATCTAGAGCACAAGCTCTAGTTTAGATTCCTTGATAAGTACACAACACTTCATTGTTCCCCAATATTAAAAATGGATTTCAAAAAGGAAAAACAAATCCAATAGAGTGTTGTTTGCTACATCTAATAGAGCCTCAGATTTGTGTTCTTCCCTTCCTAATATAACACATTCACTCAAAGTTTAAAAAATTTAAGAGTGAAGATAGCATACTCAAGCCATTCATTCAGACCAGGTGCTATATATGCTTGTGTAGTGTATAGGCCATGATAGGGTCCTTAATGACTTGTGACTATCTACAGATTGATACATACCAAACCACACCTTCTGCCGTCAAGCTGACTCCAACTCATAGCGACCCTACGGGACAGAGTAGAACTGCCCCACAGGGTTTCCAAGGAGCAACTGGTAGATTCGAACTGCCGACCTTTTGGTTAGCAGCCGAACTCTTAACCACTACACCACCAGGGCTCCATACTGACATATAATTTCACATAAATAATAATCATCTAATAACTGATAAGGTAATTTTCCCACATACAGGCAAAAAATGATGGCGAATAGAAAAAAAAAAGCGGGGGAGAGGGTCCAAGACATGTTTTCATATTGTATTAATACTGCCTTTGTTAACAGCTTTATTGATACAGAATTCACATACCATACAATTCACCCATTTAAAATGTTCAACTCAATGGCTTTTAATATATTTACAGAGTTGTACAATCATCACCACAATCAATTTTTTTTAGAACATTTTCATCTCCCCAAAATAGAAACCACTTACCCATTAGCAGTCACAACCCATTTCATCCTACTCCCTGCCCTTGGCAACCACTAATCTACTTTCTGCCTCTATAAATTTGCCTATTCCAGACACTTCATATAAGTGGAATTATACAATATGTGGTTACTTATTATCAGCTTGAAGAACTTCCTTTAGTATTTTTTGTAGGGTAGGTCCACTAGCAACAAATGTTCTCAGTTTTTATCTGGGAATGTCTACCTTGCTTTCATTTTAGAAAGACAGTTTTGCTGGATATAAAATTCTGACCTGACAGATTTTTTTTTTTTTTTTTACCTCTCGGTACTTTAAATATGTCATCTCAACTGTCTTCTGGCCTCCGTTGTTTCTACTGAGAAGTCAGCCATTAATGTTACTGGGGTTCCTTTGTAAGTAATGGGTCTTTTTTTCTCTTGCTAATTTCAAGATTTTCTCTTCGTCTTTGGCTTTCAACATTTTTACTATGATGTATCTGGGTGTGATCTCTTTTCACTTATCCTACTTGGAGGTGGTTGAGACTCTTGGATATACAGGTTAATGTTTTTTATCAAAGTCATTATTTTTTCAAATATTTTTTATGCTCCTTTCTCACTCTCCTCTCTTTCTGATACTCTCTGAATCAGAATGTGAGTGTTGATGCACTTAACAGGTCTCACATTTCTCTGAGGATCTTCATTCTTTCTTCTTTCCTTCGTTCTTTTTCTCTCTGATCTTCAGACTGTATAATCAACCTATCTTCACGCTTCTTGATTCTTTCTTCTGTCAGTTCAAATCTACTGTTGAGCTCCTCTAGTGAATTTTTCACTTCCATTATTGTACCTTTCAACTCCAGAATTTCCATTTAGTTTTTTGTTTATAATTTTTATCTCTTTATTGATATTCTCTATTTGATGAATCATTGTCATCACACTTTCCTTTGTTTCCTTAAATATGGTTTTCTTTAGTTCTTTGAACTAAATAGCTGCTCTGAAGTCTTTTTCTGCTAAGTCCAACATATGGACCCTCTCAAACACAACTTCTGTTGCCTGTTTTGTGTTTTTCTCTCCATAGGACACACTGTTTCTTTGCATGTATTGTAATTTTTTTTATTGGTAACAGAACATTTCTGATAATATATTTAGCAATTCTAGATGTTGTTGTTGTTAGGTGCCATCGAGTTCGTTCCGACTCACAGCAATCCTGTGTAAAGCAAAATGAAACACTGCCCAGTCCTGCACCATCCTCAAAATCGTTGCTATATTTGAGCCCACTGCTGCAGCCACTGTGCCAACCCATTTCACTGAGAGTCTTCCTCTTTTTCACTGACCCTCTACTTTACCAAACATGATGTCCTTCTCCAGGGACTGGTCCCTCCTCATAACATGCCCAAAGTTCTCACCATCCTCCAAGAGCATTCTGGGTGTACTTCTTCCAAAACAGATTTGTTTGTTCTTCTGGCAGTCCATGGTATATTCAGTATCATTTGCCAACAATATAATTCAAATGCATCAATTCTTCTTAGATCTTCCTTATTGATTGTTCAGCTTTCACGTGCATATGAGGTGACTGCAAATACCATGGCTTGGGTCAGGTGCACCTTAGTCCTCAAGGTGACATCTTTGCTTTTTAACACTTTAAAGAGGTGTTTTACAGCAGATTTGCCCGATGCAATACATCTTTTGATTTCTTGACTGCTGCTTCCGTGGATGTTGACTGTGGATCCAAGTAAAATGAAATCCTTGACAACGTCAGTATTTTCTCCGTTTATCATGATGTTGCTTATTGGTCCAGTTGTGAGGATTTTTGTTTCCTTTATGTTAAGGTGTAATCCATACTGAAGGCTGTAGTCTTTGATCTTCATGACTAAGGCCTTCAAGTCCTCTTTGCGTTCAGCAAGCAAGGTTGTGTCATCTGCATATCACAGGTTGTTAATGAGTCTTCCTTAAATCCTGATGCTGTGTTAATCCTGATGCTGTGTTCTTCTTCATATAGTCCAGCTTCTCAGATTATTTTCTCAGCATATAGATTAAGTATGGTGAAAGGCTACAACCCTGACACACACCGTTCCTGAGCAATTCTAGCCCATTCAATTCAATTCAATTCAAGCTCATTTCCAGGGCTTGTTGCTGTTTACCTGATTACTGACTTCGCTACACTATTTTAGTGAAATCTGCTTCCCCTAGAGTGAGTAGCTTCTGATGGCACTCCAGAGAGCTCAGCCTTAGGCATGCACGTAGTCACCCTGGCATGACAGTGGTTTTAGCAGGGTTCTCTTTGACTAATTCTCCCTGATCTCTCTGTTAAATTTCTGACTCTTTTGTTATCATATCCAGTTGTTGGCCTCCACTAATTGACAGCTGATTGCTCCACTGTTTTTGACAATGACCTAGGCGCTAACCTATTCCACAGTCTATTCCAATTAAATTCAGGCCTCTCTGCAGGGGTAGTCTTTGAGGCCAGTCTTTGACGTTTGCCCTGATCTCAGAGGGGTTCTTCTTGGCTGTCTGTTTCTCTCCCTTGTAAACGTCTAGATGGGCTAATTATCTTGTAGTTCTCATGGAGCTACCAGCCTCTTCTTAATTGCTTGCCACTAAAATCATCGTTTTCAAGAGTACCCTTACACGTGAACTTCCCATACTCTGCTCCAAAACAATTGAGTTTCCTCGGGAAGAGATTCAGAGCTCTTAGTTATAAAAACCTACTTCTCCCCTGGGTAAAACCTCCACACCACTGCTGCGGAGATGGGGGTAGAGATAATGGTCCACTTCTCTTATAAGACACCCCTGCTTTATGAGAAGGGTACTGGGCAGGGGTGGTAGCCTCTGGTCTTCTCAGTTTGCCTCTCCCAGCATGAAACCTCCACCCTACGAGTGACCTGGGACAAGGGTGAATGGGGTCCCAGTAATCTTAGCCTACTCTGCCTACAAGAGCTTCCACCCTACAAATGGGGGCTGGATGAAGGAAGAGAGCCTACACCTCTCAGCCACTTTTACCTAAAATTGACTTACACAAGATAAATACTCAAGTCATTTAATTAATAAAGATTTTAATCTATACAAAGATCACTTGTGATTTTTTCTAAAGACTTTTGGGTGTTACAAAGCTTATACAAGAAAGTAACAAATACTGTCATAATTATCTCAGTTACATTATACTTAATTCAGCAAGACTTTTCTATATATAAAATGTTATATATTACGTTTTTATATACATATACTTGTGTGTGTGTGTGTGTGTTTATATATGTACATATAAACATAAATGCCACTTCAAATCCAAGGAACACATTCTGCTTTGAAGAATAGATTATCCTACTCTATGAAATTACACATATGATAACATGGTAAGTTCAAAATACAGATAAGGATCCCTAACTACACATATATTTTGCTTCTAAATAAAGTGATGGCTTACCTTGACTTTGTCTGATGATCGTTTTCCACCAAACCCTCCAGAGCCAACAACGAAGATAGAGAACTGACTATAACATATAAGTTCCTTCTCAGAATATGAATAGACTGAAAAGTAAATAAAAGAAAAAAAAAGAGTTATTATTAAAGGGTATAACTACTTAACCAGAATATGTTCAACAATATTTTCAGAAGTTCCAAAAATAAAATCCAATTACTGAAAGGGTTTTGTAATTTAAAGATGTCCAACTATAGGGTCGCTATGCATCAGAATCAACTTGACGACAACAGGTTTTTTTAAGTCAGGGTATAAAGGGAGCTGAGGGGAGAGGTTCTTGGCCACACATCCTGGAGTGGAATATATTCATTTTAATATATGCACCACCAGTCTCTGACAAACATCAAAAATATTCTCAATATATTATTAAGTAAAAACAAGGCAAGTTCCAAAACAGCATATACAGTACAACCTCCAATGTATTTAGAATGAAATGATAAAGCCTATATTCCAAATATCAATTTACATTTTCCACTCTGTTCTTTATTTCCAAAATGTTTTATAATAAGTATTTATTTCATTTGTTTTTAAATTTTAAAATAAATAAATCTTAAACAATGTCATCTTTAGCTTATATTTAATTATTACTTCAACATTTATTAAAATACTATAGTCTTCTCTTTTTTCCACTGCAAATAAAATATGGCTATGATATTTAAACCACATTATGAGTTAAGCAGGCTGAATGAGCAAAGATACAAACCTAACTGCCATTTATAAAGTGATTAAGTGGTCAAATATGTTCCAACTTCCAAAGAGCCAACATAGAAAAGAATACCAATAAAGCCTGTTTATTAATTGAAGGCTGTCTATATATTCCTTCCTGCTAAAAATATACTCCAACAGCGTAATTCTCCTCTGTATTTTCTTTACAAGCCAAAAATCTCACCTCTGTGCTCTGGTTATGTTGTTTCAGATTCCCTGAAATGTCCCTCCTCTCCTCCTACCCCTTTTTCTAAAAAAGTTTATGAACTTTTAGAATGCTTACCATGCTTTTTCACAAATTAGGAAATAAGTAAAAACTTAATCATAAATTTCTATGGTGAAGTATTATGTTACATACAAAGTTTATCAATCTAACAATGTTATTATAAGAACTATAAATGAGTTACCATCTAGAAGAATTAATAAACCAGATCCTTTATCTAGGACATCAGCAACATGTGCTTCACACCTTAATTTTCCTACAGGAAAAGAAAAAATAATAGACTTTTAAATACCATAAATTATTATATTAAGACATGAGAGAATTTAAAATAATTTCCACTGTAAGTTCAGCAAAACTAAAATGTTACAGTTTGAAATAATTTTCCTGAACTCAGAAAAAATATTATTCAACATTAAAAGCAATCAAAATACCTGTATCACTAAGTTGGAAACATCAGTAATTCTGATAAATTAGATTTTAAAAAATAACAATTTGCAGTGTCAATGATCTCCTCCTGGTCTCTTTTTTCCAACAAACATTTGTTGAGCATACAACCAATATCACTGACCTCATTCCTTCTCAACTCTCTACTCTGCTGGTTTCATTGAGACAGTGTCTCTTTCTAATCACACGGTTCTTTTATGGACTCCTCCAATCATTTAATTGGTGTGTCTTAGTGGATTATTATTCTCTGGATATTAACTAACCATCTTTCTTTCAAAACCTGCTTTTCTCTTTCCGTTCCTGTATTAGTGAATGGTGCCATCTACATAGCTACCCAGGCCAGAAATTCAAGCATCATCCCTGACTCATAAAATTGAGAGTAAGCAAGTGGCAAAACTTGAAGAGGAGAAATTGGTGACCTCATGTGTGTCATATTAGCACTGTGCACCACAGGGTTTTCAATGGCTGTGATCTTTTGAAGTAGATCATCAGGTCTTTTTTTCAAGGCACCTCTGGGTGGATTCAAACCACTAACTTTTGGTTAGCAGCTGAGCACTTAACCATTTCTGCCACCCAGCTAGATTATACTAAAAACTGTTGACATATCTGGCTCTATTCTGAAGAATATGTATTGACATTTGGAATTTTAAATGGGAAGTAGAAAGCACATTTGCACTGTAGAAATAACATTCTGGCTGCAGTGAGGTGAATGGACCTGAGGGGAGCAAGAATGGAGACAGAGAGAACACTTAGAAGGTGAGAGATGATGGTGGACTAAAACATAGAAGAGGAAGTAGGGGTGGACAGGAATAGAAGGATACTAGATATATCTAAGGGAGAGAATCAAAGAACTTAGTAACTGCCTAGATGTGAGAAACAGAAAAAGAGAAGCCAGGGATGAAATCCAGAGTTCTGTCACTTTCACCTCCTAAATATCTCTTTCATCCACAATTTCACTTTATCTCCTCCACCACCACCTTAATCCAAGCTACCATCGTTTCACTTAAACTACCACAACAGACGTCTAATTGGGTACTTGCATATCCACTCTAGCCAACTCTAAAACATTCTCCATACTATGTCTGAGGTGATTTTTTCCCCAAATCCAAAACTGACAGTGTAACTAACTGCTCTTCCCAACACCACCACCACCACCACTACTCCACACAGACATAATCTCTATGGTTGGGGTCCAGAATCCATATTTTATTAAAAATAACAGGTAACATAATAACTCAGGAAATTCTGATATGCAGTAAGGTTAGGAAATAATCTAAGACCTAATAATCTAATACAATGCCTTACACTTCATAAGTATCCAGGAGATACGTGATGATTACACAGTCACCACAAACTATGTACTGACTCAGATAAAAACGAGCTTTGTAAAAACTTATGCAGTAACATAACACTGAGATAAAGCTATTCAACCTTAGGCAATAAAAATTTCATAATTTTTTTAGTAAAATAAAAAGGATTAGGAAAAAATTAAAGTAAGATTCTAGCTCTTTGCTGACCTCTACCTTATATAATGTGAAATGGTAAATCAACACTCCTTTGTTATATTTTACCACCTTATATGGCCAGTGTATAATTAGGTAATATTCCAACATGAGTTGGAAAACAAAGACATCAAGTTATAGAGACAAATAAAACCAGAAGCTTTACTGTACAAGTAAGAGATTACTAAGGAAAATACAAATGATTATTAAGGCCGGTTTGGTTTTATTTTCACTCAGAGAATTTAGGTGAAAAATTATAAGAAATTCTGTGTCTTTTAAAATTTTTTGCTTTAAGACAATAAGCACCAAGAAAAGTACCTGAGAAAAGAATAAAGACCCATAATCATAGGAATCATAACCGATTGTGCACAATCACTATCTAAAATCCCAAACGTGAAAATAATGCTCCTTTCAGTTGTTAATAACACATACATCAATAGATATAAAATATTAACATTTTAAAGTAATTTATTATAAAACTATTAAAGGACAAAGTTTGAGGTAACCAAAATAGGTACTAGTTATAACATCAATCTACCCCAATGGCTGACATGTACCTAAATAACTCGTGATATGTTTTATTAGGTCACTTTATGCCAGTTTAACATATTGATCCAGTTTGGAAGGTTAATCAGAAAATAAAATTATGGAATGATTATGGAATTAGTGTATCAAGAACTCACCTGTTCTGGGAAGTGGTTTATATAACTCCAAGTATTGCTCCCCATGAAGACTCTACGGTACGGTAAGCACAATTTTATTAGCAGACTTTCTTTTTCCAGAATTTGACTGTGGATATCGTTAATCACAAGTGACAACATCACATTGTTCACATGCTCACATCACTACTTCTCCCAAATTATCTGTCTCAGTTTGGTTTCTACTTCTTAATCATGTGACTCAGAAATAACCAGTCCCCAAATCTAAAGACTGTTAGTTCTTTTGGAATACAGAAGGTATCTTACAGTTGTGTTCCTTCTAGGCATTCATAAATCCTTGTTGACTGATAATTATGGATTATTTGCCAATGGAGGTGCTAACCTAGGCTATATTTTCCAGTGCTTATCACAGTGCCTGGAACATACTAGGCATCCAATAAATACATGGAATAGAAATGAACAAATAGGGCCAGTGCTAGTAGTTTAAATTGTTAAAACACAAACCAAATACAAATGACTCAACTAAAAGAACAAAGATAAACCTTACTACCTCATTCAGGGTAAAGCACTGTCAAGCAGTGTCAACATTCCCTTCAAATAATATCTTGCCAATTATGAATAAAGACTAAACTAAGGACACTGTATAACTTCACAGCCACTTAATCTCAATGTGTCAAAGCAAGAATATACCAAGTATCTGTAGAAAACAATAGGACAGGAAAACCAAGATGTAACAACATATCCAAATCACAACTGCAGTGGGACAGCTTAATCTCCAGTCTTCCTCAGCATACACAAAGAAAGTAGGGGTGTGGTGATGGGAGGGCAAATAAAGGACTCCCTCACTGAGTCACACCACCTGGAAACTCAAGGTTGGGAAGACCGGGATTCATATTCCAAGATGGCTGTCATTCCCAGCCTCATAATTTGAACATTACTTATCATTTCCCACTCTGAGAGGACATTATGAAACATTTAATTTTGGCACTTACATTATCCAAACAGAAGAATGGCATACAAGAAATACCACGGGAAAGTAGTGAAACAGCAAACTTCCCAGCACGTACTTCTCACTTTACTCTCAACTTCATCAAATACACTAATAAAATGTGCTCCCATAGATTCAGCACAGGAGTGGGCTAATCAATCCTCTAGAAAATGGGTTCTCCAATCAAAGTCATGGAAACCAATCACCTTATAGCTCTATGATTCAACAACTATCACCAGGCTGATAACCTAAACCTTACTCCAAGTAAAATATACTCCACCTCAGAAGTTTCACATAGTTGTCCTTGAAACACTTTATTTACCTGACACCTCAAATACCACATTCTGCTAGTGTTCATCCTACCTCCATGGCCATTCCTTTTCAGTCTCTTTTGCTAGTTCCTCCTCATCTCTTCAACATCTAAACATTGCAGGGCCCCTAAACAAAAGCCTCATCTCTAGTCAAACTCACACATTAGGTGATTTCATCTAATCCCATGGCTTTAACTATCACCTAAATGCTAAGGGCATCAATTAGAGCACTCCCCCAAAAGCCAGACTCATATATTCAATTCCCTACTTTACATCTCCACTTAATGTGTAATAGCCATCTCAAACATGCCCCAAATCAACCTCCTGATCACCTCCACCCCAAAATAAGTGTATATTTACATTTTTATTATATGTAATAATGTTACATGTGACTATTATACATACTAAATATTACTATATAATTAATTATATGTAGTATATATACACGTATACCATTCCAGTCATCCAGACCAAAAATCTTCATCCTTGATGCCTGTTTCCCTCACCCTCATATCCAGCCCTTGTGCTTAGATTACTGTAATATAGACACCTAACTGGTTTCCCCTGCATCCATGCTTGCTCCCCCACAATCTATTTTCCACACAGCAAGTGAACAGAGTCTGTAAGTGAACAGAGTCAAGATTATTTCACTCCTCAGCTCAAAGTGCTACAATAACATCCCATGTTAAAGTAAAATCTTACAATGACCTACAGGCCTTTTTCTCCTAGCACTGCCCTCTTGCTCATTCTACAGCTATATTGGCCCCCACCTTGTTGTTCCAAGAACAAGCCAAGGACGCACCTACCTCAGGGTCTTTTATACCTGTTGTCTATGCCTCAAATACCTGGCTTGCTCCCTCACCAGTATCATGAAGTAAGAACTATCATTTCCATTTTACAGATAAGAAAACTGAAGCTTAGAGAAGTTATTTACCTTAAATCAAATGGTAAGTAAATGGCAGAGAGAGATTAATCACATTATGTCAGGATCGAGGGACTGTATATAATTGTTATTTTCCTCTTATTGCTTGTCTTTTAAACTAAGTCTCATCTTTTTTATTCTTAAAAAAAAATTCTAAATCTTTATTCCTGAACCACTATAAACTTTTTTATAATTCTATATACATATATAGCTATACAAGTGTATGTATATATAGATAGATAGATAGATGATGTGACTTTTATCAATCATATTTAAACACACAGAAAAAATAAATAAATAAAAGGTTTCCTATTAGGCATACCTTTGCTAAGCTGATTGAAAGCCCTGGAATCTCTGCTAGAGCTCCACTCGCCATAAATTTCTGAGCTAAGGTAACTGCAAAGGTAGGCAAACAGGTGAAATCAGAACTTCCTTCATAAATAAATTTCAAATCTTTTGGATCCTTGACTGATGCTCCCACTCCAAGGGCATACATAATAGCTTCCAGTTCAGTATAAGCAGAAGAAAACGGAGGAAGTTGATGGCCAATAGCTCCATCCTATGGGAAAGGTATAAAAAATGATTAGTTTCACTGACATCATTTTTGTCAAATCTTTGAAATTCAACTTTCCAAAACTAATTATAACTGCTTACATACTTAGTTTTGCTTTTGAAAAGATGTGAATCGGATGCCATTTTAGTGAATTTGACGGAGCAGCATAATTGCTTCACTATATTTGAATTTTTAAAAATAGCAACCAAACATATAATGTGTGGAAAAGGACTTCATTTACGCATAAGTTTTTTTTTTATTGTTTGCTTCTTGTTAACAAACAGTACGTCTCATTTTCAACTGTACTGCCTCTAACGGTGAAAGCCTACTAACTCAGCAAATATTAGCTGCCCAAAAATCTAAATAATGAATTTGTTAAAAATAGGGATAGTAAATTGCTCCATAAGATCTACTATATAAAACTCATCATAAACTGATGAGCAAAACAATGCTTAATGCTTGTAAATTAGATTGCCTCATAATGGTTCTAGTTAAAATGAAATTTTACCTGTAGTTCCTTTCCAGTAATATCCTTCATCTAACTGGATGTTGTATTTTTCTATCTGGTGATGTTATTACTACCTAATGTGTGAACTACATATTAGATTAATAAACAAAGATGTCCAATATACTGATCACTTCTATTCTAAAGCAGGGCTGGCAAACTACAACTACAAGCTAAGAACAGCTTTTACATTTTTAAAGGATGGTTAAAAAGAAAAAGAACAAAAGAATACGTGACAGAAACAGTACATGGCCCACAAAGCCTAACATATTTACTATCTAGCCCTTTACCAAGGAACCCTGGTGGCACAATGGTTAAGTGCTCATCTGCTAACTGAAAGGCTGGTAGTGTGAACTCACCAGTGGCTCTGCAAGAGAAAGACCTGGTGATCTGCGCCCGTAAAAATTAAACAGACAAACAAACCAACCTGTTGCCATCAAGTCAATTCCAACTTATACCAGAAATCCTGTGGGGCAGTTCTACTCTATCCTATCGAGTCGCTATGAGTTGGAATCAACTTGACAACACACAATAACAATATGCCTGCCCTGGGTCACAAAACACCAGAATCTAATGTGGCAAATGCTTGCTTTCTTTTTTTTTTTTTTTAAATTGTACTTTAGATGAAGGTTTACAGAACAAATAATTTCTCATTAAACAGTTAGTACACATATTGCCCTATGACAATGGTTAACAACCCCACGACATGTCAACACTGTCCCTTCCCAACCTTGGGTTCCCTATCACCAGCTCTCCTGTCCCCTCCTGCCTTCTAATCCTTGTCCCTGGACTGCTGTGCCTCATTAGTCCCGTTTTGTTTTATGGGGCTCTCCAGTCCCAGGCTGAACGGTGAACCTCGGGAGTGACTACACCACTGAGCTAAAAGGGTGTCCGGGGGCCATAAAAATGATTTATTTCTTACTATTTATGTACTACAATTAAAAAAAGGAAAAGTACAGGTTATGAAAATCAGCTAACTTCATGTGAGCTACAGCCACAATTCTATTAGAATTACCGACACAATGGGAGGCTTCTTACTTGCAGCCATGTTGAAATATTCCCAAAATGTAGTATTGTATTAATGCTTTTCTTAAAAGAAATGACTCAAAAGAGCCACTAAAATAAATATCCTTTTCTAAAAAGTTAGAAAAATAGTGAATAAACTAGGATTATCAATGATGCTTAAAAAAAAAAAAAAAACTTGCTAATTGCATTGAAGATAAAGCAGAAGTTCCATCCAATATTTTAACTATGCTCATCTACATCATATCACTATTTAGTACATTATTTTATGAAAAGTTATGTATCTTTCCTATTTAACAATAAATTAAATAACTTAGAAAATAACATTTGGTATGTGAAGAAAATGTTTTGGAATTATTTACATTTCTGTTTTGTTGATTATAGGCATTTTCAATACAGAAACAAAAAACCTTGTGTGTGTGTTAAGTGAATGGGGAAAAGACACAACAAAGAGCCTACAGCATATAACCCTCCACACATCATATAGTGTGGCCAACCCTTCCCCACAAATTTTCACACAACTGAAACTTACTTAAACTCAGTTTAAAGATAACCTTGAAAAGAGAAAGAAACACGAATGGGCAGAAGGAGGACTGTATGAGGAAGCTGAACAGGCAGAGCAAGCAGAGGTATCCACTCATTACCTCCCTGAGATAATTCCCAAACAGTAATGGGGGAAAAAAAAAAAAGGAAGTGGTTAGAGTACCAGTCAGGCAACTACCTTGATTCACCACAGCCCCAACAGGAGACTGCTAAAAATTACCTGCAAGTAAAGATCATTCTTTATTTTACCCTTCAAAAGTTCATGTTAAGCCAGACTTTGTTTTCAGCACCTCTGTTCCCAATCATTCAGGGCAGCCACAAGAAGAAGCTGAGTAGGGTAACTTCCATTCTTCTACCGCACTAGGAAAGGCCTTGGAAACACACCCAACTGCCCTGCTCTCCTATCAAGACAGTCTGTCCTTTAGGGGAGAGACAAGCCTGGTACATTTCAGAAAGAAAAGAGAAAGAGGGTGTAGTTGAAAAGAAAAATAAAGCAGTCTGGACAGCTTTAGAATTCATCCCAAGCGACCTCTTCATGTGGTTCAACAATCATGACCTCCCTGTATTGTCAGAATCAGCCTTGTTCTGAAATCAATCATAAATGATTTCTGAATAAATCCTCTGTTTTAAACGACCTCTGCTACTGCTTTCCATCCATTATTAGAGACTGAAAAAGAATGACTGTATCTTAAAAAGAAAACATTTCCAGAGAAAGCAAAAGCTTTCAGTTCTTTTCCTACTTACAAATCCTGATGTGGTTGTTGATGCTGTATGACTGGTATGATTTGTCGAAACTCCTCCTGAATCTATTTTACTTAGAACTCCAATTATACTTCCAGTTGATTCTAAAATAAATAATAATAATAATGCGTTTGTTAAAGGCGTTACTAAGAAAAGCTACAAAATGCTAGATTATTATTCCTACAACATTCAGCAAACCTGCTGCAGAACCTTCTTGGTACTTATAAACTGAATGTGCATCAGGACACTGTAGGAAAAAACTGTGAAAGACTTTGAAATAGACCCAAGATAACTGGGTATCTTCAACAGAAAACAAAGCATTAGCTGACTCTAAGAGGGTTCTGAGCCTTTCAATATCTTTGTTTTATAATTCTGTAAAATGGGATACTTGTCCACAGACATGTAAACTATGTTTGGTGGAGGGACAAGTGATTTTCCTCCCCTCTCCCAACTCTCCCCCTGAGATGGAACAATGTCAAGATTAGCCCCAGTCTCAATGTAAGTAATAGCTCTGAAGATATTACTAAGAGTTCTTTCAGAGAAAACCATCATCATGACCACTGACTCCAGACAGGGATCTGAAGCTGCTGTTCTGGGGTCTAAAATGTTGATGAAGAAGGCTCATGAAGCATCCACATAAGCCACAGGATTCCAAAAGCAGGCTCTGGGACATTTCCAACAAATCCAAGAGGTATGGAGGTCCATCCTTCTGAACTCAAACAAAAAACCATAACTAAATACAGAGTCTGAGATGACTAGGGATATCTGTCATTCCTGGTGACACTGGTAGAGAAACATCTTGCCTATTAATCCTCCTTCTACCACCCCATTACGGATGCTGCCTAGAGGGGAGGCTACTTAACTGAAAGGTACCTTGGTATAGGCTGAAAGCACTGTACTTACAGATAGACAACCCGAGTTAATTCTTGGCTCAAACACTGGCTAAACAGGAGAGCCTGAGCCAATTATTTAGTTTTTCTAGGATCTAGTCCTTCAACGGCAAAATGAGAAATAGGTGCTCTAGAAAGTCGGAACTGTATAGAGAAGATGATCTTTCTCTCTTTTTTTTTTTTATACTGTATTTCAAATACTAGAGGTATCTTTAGTATTTTTACTAAAATACTATTTTAAAATACAATTTAAAAGGTTGAGGTTGTCAAGGATTTCGTTTTACTTGGATCCACAATCAACACCCATGGAAGCAGCAGTCGAGAAATCAAAAGATGCGCTGCACTGGGCAAATCAGCTGCAAAAGACTTCTTTAAAGTGTTGAAAAGCAAAGATGTCACCTTGAGGACTAAGGTGCACCTGATCCAAGCCATGGTGTTTTCAATTGCCTCATATGCATTAGAAAGCTGGACAATGAATAAGAAAGACGGAAGAACTGATGCCTTTGAATTGTGGTGTTGGTGAAGAATACTGAATGTACCATGGACTGCCAAACGAATGAACAAATCTGTCTTGGAAGAAGTACAACCAGAATGCTCCTTAGAAGCAAGGATGGCGAGACTACATCTCACATACTGTGGACATGTTATCAGGAGGGATCAGTCCCTGGAGAAGGGCATCATGCTTGGTAAAGCAGAGGTCAGCAAAAACGAGAAAGACCCTCAACGAGATGGATTGACACGGCAGCTGCAACAACGTGCTCAAGCATAGACAACAATTGTGAGGATGGCGCAGGACCAGGCAGTGTTTCACTCGGCTGTGCAGAGGGTTGCTATGAGTCAGAACCGACTTAACAGCGCCTAACAACAACAACATCTTTTCATTTGCAATCATATTTATTTAATTAGCTTCTTTTTTTATAACAGTCTAATAATTTTGAGGCAATAAAGTGGAACTCTGCTATCAGAAGAAAGTTTTAATGTATTTCTTCCTTTTTTCCTTCATTCATTTTCACTAACAGGTGACTGGTATTCACAGACTAATTTTATCTCAACAAAATATAAAACGCAGAAAATGCCACCATTTATGATATAACACTTGTGTTATTATCTGATTGAAAAAAAGCACAAAGAAGATTTCAATGAGTGCACCAGCAAGCAGGGAAGTGTCATTAAAGGCAATAAAATTAACAGTCATTTTTCAGATATATTCTGTACCAAATTTTGAATATAAAATTACCAAAAGGGAAAAAAAAAAACTTTTCTCTATAAAATGACCCTGATTCATGATCTTTCCCAGAAAGGTCTTTTAAATTTCACATACCGTATACATATGTAAGTTACATGTACATGTAAGTAAGTATGTGACTAATTATTTGGCTACCTGTTCCTGTGGAATACCACAGGTAATTCAATAATTCAATTCAGCAAGCACTTATGAAATCCTTTCTATGAGTCCAGCACTGTGCTGCTACCAGATATAAAAGAAACACATACAAGATATGGTCTCTGCCCCGCAAAGGAACTTGTAGTGCAGTTAAGAAACCTGTAGTCATGAAACACAAACAGCTGAAAGCAGTTATGATTAGATGCTCATGTGGTTGGAGTTCAGCTAAGAGAGAGACCAACGTAGCCCAGAATATCTGGGGATGCTTTGTTGAATATCTGGGCCTTGAGTTTCTCTAAAGAAGCACTAAGATTTGCAGAGGCAATAAAAGAAGGAAGGGGTCAGTTAGAAAGACAGAGAAACAGTAGTAAAGGCACTATACCTAAAACAAAGCAAAATCTATTCACTGGGCAGAAAAGAGCTGAGCCTGAATAAATTAGACTTAAATAAGCATTTTGGGAAATAGAGAAAAATCAGGTCAGATAAGGAGGTTATGGTTAGATAATGGAAGACTCTGAAACCAACCATCGGATGTGGAGCAGGTGCATTCAACACAGATGGGAAAATACCTCATGCATATACCAAAAAATTTAGATTTTAAAAAAGCTGAAAAATTGACAGTAGGAGTGACACAATTATCTTCAATGTTAAGAGTCCTAATACTTACCAGAGCAGGAAACATGCTGTGGATGATTCAAGTGTCTAAGTCACCACAATTAAAATAGAAAGTAACATCCTAACAGAAAAGAACGCTTGTGCCTCTGGTTCCCCAACTAGGACTGAACTGACTTAGAACTCTCCTTACCTTGTATACTCTGAGGCGTGCTGGTATTATCAAAGTCACAGATCTTTGCCCAGTTAGCCTTTACTGCCTCAGGAGTCATTGGCTGATTCTTTTGCCTTACAATGGCTCCAAGAGTCCGCTCCCAGCGTACTGATTAAAGAAACAAAACTAAGATATTAAGCATATAATTTAAGAGGGAGACAGAAAAGAAAATGCATAAGAGACCCTTGAATTTTTTTAACTTCAAGAAAAAAGGTAATTAAAAAAGGAAGATTCTAAATTTTAACATGTTTTACTACATGCCTTAAAATGCATTTTTCCTAAAATAACATAACCCATTAGGATAATGTCAAAATTTTTTACAATACTTGACGCTGAAGGGAAAAAAATCCTCCTCTGACTACGACAAATATTATTAGTAGTAGAATGAATGCTGAATCAGAAAAAGTTAAATTATATACAATCACACCAAAAGACTAACTTCATGACCACAGATCACTCAAGTAATATACTTCCCTGTCCTCATTTATAAAATTAAGACAGAACAGAACTCGGTTAAAAAGCAAACTGAGGATTAGACTTGATAACAGGTCAAAGACTCCAGTTAACACAAAGTTAGTACAGCAGGTAGCCCTGAATAGTTCTCCCTCTTCCTCCCTTTGCTCTGCCTCCCTTTCCTCTCTTTGCTCTTCCTCCATTTCCACAGGAAGCCAACCAGAATGCACAGACTCACATTTAAGTCCAAGAGGAAAAATAAAAACACTGTTTTCCTTTTAAAAAGCCAGGGCAATAAATAACCCTACTAGTAACCTTATTTAAATACAGTAGCTTGATGATTATTAGATTGAAAATTTCTCTTGGGGAATGACAGAAATGCCTGCATCTAGAGCTTTTCTATTTATCCAGTACTAGATACAGCTTTCATTGCAACACTTGATCTTCCTTTCTTAAATGGATGTCATAAAACAGTCAAAGATGCTTGAGAAATACACGTTACATTAATAACCAGGATGAATGGCCATTAATGCTAAAAAATATTGATACTATACAATAATCATGTTGTGACAATGACCTCTAGTGATGGCAAGTTTTTAAAAAATTAATTGTGATTAATTCTGATAACAGCAGCCAACTACTAAAAACTGGAATTAGGGTAAGATTGGAAGTTTCGCAAGTTAAAAAAAAAAAGTAGCATAAAACAATTATCCAATTTGGAGTTCACAAAGGTTTGAGATATGGAGCAGGAGAGAGTTGATGCCAAATGAATTACTCTTGGACCAAACAGGAAAAAATTCCATAAAGTAGCTGTAATTTCTGTCCCAGAAAGTTGTCTAATTGATTTCCCATTGTCTCCTTCTGGTATCTCATGTTTCAAGTAAGAAAAGAATTGCATGAGAGACTTGGAGAACCTGCCCACTATGCCATCTAGGATAGGGATCTTCCCGTCTTATTAAAAGCAGCCCTCCCTCCCACTCACTTCTCTGCTGAAATAGCAAGAACAAGCATGTGAGATGCCAATGACATGACAAAACAAACATCAATATAAAAACAGACACTGCTGTCTGAAGGAACAGCCAGTTCTGAACAAGGCAGGACAAGTCTGAATAATGACTGCTTGTGGGGAGAATACTGAACAGATAGGCTCTTGAAGGTGCCAAAGGCTGGCAGGACAATTGCCATGTTTTAGAATACCTGTTGCTATAATATTATTTAAGACTGAATATGCATGCATTGGATCCAACGATCAGGCATTTGACAAGATCCTTACCCAGCTCTAACTGGATAGACAAGATTAAAGATATTAAAATAATCTACGGTGTCATGGATTGAGTTGTGTCCCCCAAAAATATCTGTCAACTTGGCTGGGTCATGATTCCCAGTATTGTATGATTGTGTTATCTGATGTGATTTCCTTATGTGTTGTAAACTCTATCACTATGATGAGATATATGTGATCTCCTTATGTGTTGTAAATTCTATCACTGTGATGAGGTTATACTGATGAGGTTGACAAGATTAGAGTCTTAATGCAATCTCTTTTGAGATATAAGAGAGAGAAGCAAGCAGAGACACATGGGAACCTCACACCACCAAGAAAGCAGTGCTGGGAGCAGACAGCGGTTTCTGCACTGAGATGCTCCTAGACCGAGGAAAGACTGAGGCATCACAAGGACCTTTCTCCAGAGCCGACAGAAAGAGAGCCTTTTCCTGGAGCTGATGCCCTGAATTTGGACCTGTAGCCTACTGGACTGTGAAGACAATAAATTTCTCTCTGTTAAAACTATCCACTTGTGGTATTTCTGTTGGAGCAGCACTAGATGACTGAGACATACGGTAAACCAAAAACTGAGTGACTTACATTTTCCAATCCATCCTGCTCCCACCTAGAAAAAAGAGGGGAGAAAGTTATATCTGCTAATGTGAAATTACTAACAGAATTCTTTAAATTAAAAATAAAGGCAGCTATCTCACTGGGAGTACTAGAAAGTTAGATGACAACCAACGAAAATAATACAGCTCTACAAAAGTCCATTGGCCCCCATGACTTTGCAATGTTCATGTTATCAGAGTAGAAACATAAAGTAGCATAATGTAGTAGCAGTACATGTATTAAAAAAGCATGACTCTGATATAAGAGACCAAGATTTAATACCAGCTCTCCCATTGCTGGCTGTGTGATCCTGGTCAAATTATTTAACCTCTCTAAACACAAGTCTCCTCATCTGTAAATTATTATGGACAACATACACACTCCACGAGGTTACTGTGAAAGTTAACCAATATAAATAGTACAACTGCCTAGCACGTCATGGGCTCAAAATAAATGTCCCTGTAGAAAGTTCCAGTGAATAAAAAAGCATCAAAGCCAAATAAAACCAGAATTTTACTTAATAAACTAAATAGTCATTTATGAAATGTTTTTTATACAGAGAAAAGGCAAATGACCACATACATTAACTGCCATCCAGAAAGATAAACCTGTATATCTCTGTAATTTCTTCTAGAGGTCATTCAAAAAAATCCTCAGAAGAAAATGTCTGACAGAAGTAAAATCTGTTTGTCGTATCTTCAAGCAGCACAATTAGTGTGCCAGAACTCACCACAAGAATTCCACATGAATATGACAGAAGAAAATGTATCAAGAGACAGCATACATCTAAATAGCTCTAGGCTCAAGGGTATGGCATTTTATTACCCTTTGTCTTTACATTAATATGCCCACATCTTTTATAATAGATTCAATTAGTCTGGATGCAAAGTAGATAAAATCAAGAGTGATTTTGATAATAATCTGGGAATAAAGATACAAACTGCAAGCTCCTCGCACATACTAGAAGCAAGGGCTCCAGCTAAGCCAAAAAATCTGTATCTGCCAATTTAGATCTCTATCAGAACTTCACAAAGTGGCAACTTATTTATAATCTTTAATATATATTACATACAACTCTTACTATATTTTCTCAATCTTGCATGCCAAATGAGTCATTAAAAATGTTCATGATAAATTAACAGAAAATAGCAACATACAGAACTTCATCTACAGCATGGTCTTACTTGTGTGTTTGTGTGTGTGGGTAAAACACATATTTAAGAAAAGACTATTTGTGTATAATGCATATCAAAGACTGGAATACATAAAAATATTAAGTTTTATCTGGATGGTAGTAATATAGACGACTTTTACTTTCTTCTATATACTTTCCTGTATTTTTGGAACTTTCTAAAAAGAACATATATTATTTTTGCTCACAGAATTAATAATAAATATCATTGTAAAAGATAAATAGTTTAAAAAATATTCCTTAAGAAAATGAAAGAGAGTCGGGCCAAATTTTGAGCTTCAGATGCTATTATTAATCTTCCCTCCTCTGTAAAGATTATAGTGTTATGATAGTTAAAATTGGGGATGATTGCTATGTAATAGGACCTATGCTAAGGGTTTAAAAATATGACTTCTAGTTGACACAACAACCCTCAAGGAAACTTCAAGCTCAGAGGTTAATTTGCCCAATATCCCAGCAAGCCAGCAATTACATGAACAAAAACTCAACACCAGGCAGGACTGATTCGAAACCTCATACTCTATCTTTCCACTTAACCATTCAGCTTCTCAAACCAAGTAAGACTTTCTACCTTTGACTAAAGATATTAAACCAGTCACATTTTTATCTGGTAAGAATATTAGAAATGAAGAACTAAGGAAACACAGAATTTATGAAGTTGCTGTTACTTTCTCAAAAAAGGACATTACTTTCTCAAAAAAGGACATTAGCTAACATTTGCTCCTTAATCATAACATATACATAATATTAAAAGAAATATAACACAAGCGATGTGAACTGGTGCAAATTTTTACAAATGTAAGTAATTGTAAAAACACTAACGTTTTAATCATTTCTTATATTTAATTACACAAACATTGCTTTAGGAAGAAGCAGGAAGGTGCAGAATACCTCAAACAAGCTACCATTTTCCTCACAACTCTCGTGGCAAAGCCAAAGGACCAGAGGTGCCACATAATCTGGCTTCAGGCCTTCTAGAACATCTGAAATAAATACCAAAAAAAAGAAGTTCATGAACAAGAACATATAAATTTTTAATCAATCATTTTACTTCCCCAACTTTTACTTATAAAATTATAGATAATTCAGAGATTTTTTTAAATAAACCGTAACAAAATTATACATAACTACTGTAACATTTAAAGCTTAAGGGAAAACTTCTTTACCCCACCAGACACATCCCCGAAGCTCTCTCAAGCTTCTAAACTTGGAAGCAGCAGATGCATCTTTCTGAGATGGGTAACATACTGTCTAAGAGATGAAACCTTAGAGCTGCTTAGGCAAAGACCGATGAGCAAAGCTGTATGTAACATGAGAAACTTGGGTACCATTTATTCCCAAAACGACTTTACTGTCCCAGCTATTTAACCAGAAACTAGAGAACTACAAAACTACCTTGACAATTCTAATGGCAGTAAGATAATGATGTGAAATGGGCCTTGCAAGCATCACTGATGAGTAAGAAAGTGTGCGGAAGTATTTTCCTACTGCATACTTTCTATGAGTTGCTTAGGAGAGCAGAAAAGTACTACAGCATGACTAGGAAAATCCGGATTTTAGTGCTGACCCTGCCACACAGGCAATTTAGGGCCTTGAGCACCTCACTCAACCACTATGGACTTGTTTCTTCATCACAATGAATTAGAATGCTTTCCCTGCCTATTTCACCAAGTGGTTCAAATGAGATACAGTTTGAGACTATACCTTATAATCTATAAAGGAGCAAATGTATAATTTGATTGTGAAATGATGAAATATAATTTGATATTAACATGACAGAGTAACAAAGACAGCATTTATAATCCCTGTAAATTAAAGAGAAGCTCCGAAAGAAAAATATATAAAAGTCAAAAGAAAGATAGATTTAGACTACAATAGACTAGAGATGTTGCAATTGTAAAATATATTACATACAGAAGCTAACTACTGATTCAGAAAATAAAGAATACAATCACAATGGTAAACAAGCACCAAGAGACTATCATGAATAAATTGGCAGAGTAGATTTGGCAGAGGGGGAGAGGAAGATTCCTGAGACCAAAAATGCAAAGGATGTATTAAATATTACATTAGATGCAGATGAAGAGTGAATTAACAAAGGCATATTTAATGAAACTACTTAGAATTCAATACAAGAGACAAGACAGAAATGTGAAAGAGAAGTGAAGACAAATAAAGGACAAAATTAGATCTAACATATACCTAATTCACATGTAGAAAGAAGAGAAATGGAGGAGTAATATTTTAAAAGATAAAGACTATACATTTTCCAGAACTTATAAAGCTAAACAAAACATAAACCATAAGTTCAAAGATCAAGGAACCATAATATAAGCCAAGCATAAACACTTGGTGCTATCGAGTTAATTCGAACTCATGGCGACCCCAAGTGTTACAGAGTAAAACTGCTACATAGGATTTTCTTGGCAATAATCAGATCACTATACCTTTCTTTCGCAGCACCATTGGGTGGGTTTGAACCTCCAACATTTAGGTTACCAGTCCTGTGCCACCCAGGGACTGGATAAATAAAAGAAGTCTAGGCCCAGATACATCAATGAAAAAACAGAACACAAAAGAAGATCTTAAAAGCAGTCAGATAGAAAGGGCAAATCCTGTACAAAAAATTGTTTTGTACCATTTCACAAAAACTACTTTTAAAGTATTGTTGAGATTTTCTTTTTAGAAATATCTAAAGACCAGAGTATCAAAAACTAAACACAGTTCTCCACTAGTCAAGTATTCTATTTATTACATAACTAAATAAATAGCATAGGTTCCAAACCATACATTATAAATCACCTTTAAAATTTTACATTTTCAAAGACCTACCTGATTTCAAGACTTACTATAAAACTACAGTAATCAAATACAGCATTGGTAAAAGGACAGTTATATAGATCAATGGAACAGAGTGTCCAGAGATAAGCCATATACAGACACATACGTGGTCAATTCATTTTCCACAAAAGTAAAGTATAAATGCAACCCAAACCAAGAATGAGGAATAGTCTACAGACCAAATGAGCTAGTTTTGTCAACAACTAAATGGTTTTTTTAAAAAAACCTCAAAACCCAAACCCACTGCCATCAATTCCAAATTATAGAGAGCCTAAAGGATAGAGTAGAACTGTCCCATAGGGTTTCCAAGGAGTAGCTACTGGATTCAAATCACCAACTTTTTGGTTAGCAGCTGAACACTTAACCACTGTGCCACCAGGGCTCCATTTTTTTTTTTTTTTTAAAGGCAGAGGAAATATTATGTGTTAAGGAAAACCTAAGGGATATAATAACAAAATGCCTGTGGACCTAGTTTGGATCCTGAGTGGAATAAATCAGCTGTAAAAAGATATCTTCCATATGCACACCCATGTTCATGGCAGCATTGTTCAGAATAGCAAAAAGATGGAAACAACCTAGATGCTCATCAACAGATGAATGGATAAACAAATTACGGTACATATACACAATGGAGTACTATGCAACAAGAAAGAACAGTGATGAATCTGTGAAGCATCTCATAACATGGATGAAACTGGAGGACATTATGCTCAGTGAAATAAGTCAATCACAAAAGGACAAATATTGTATGAGACCTCTATTGTAAAAACCCTTGAAAAAGTTTACACACAAAAAGTAACA